CGTCTGGAGCCGTGTTGGGGACCTCTCTGAACCGACTTGGGGCCCTCTTGGGACGCTCCGGGTCCGTCTTGGAGGCCATCTTGGGCGTCTCTGAGGCCTCTTGGCCCGTCTTGGGCCCTCCTGGGGCCGTCTTGGGAGCCTCTTGTGCCATCAAGGGGCCCTCTTGGAGGCCTCGGGGGCGATCTTGGGGCGATCTTTGGGGCCTCTTGGGCCGTCGTGATCCGTCGGAATGGCGAGAAGAAGCACACGCCAAAATCCTTCAAAACCTACGGATAACCAATGGTTTTGACCTCTTCGGGCCCTCCTGGAGGACCTCTTGGAGGCCTCCTGGGCCGTCTTGGAGGCCTTTGGGCGGCCTCTTGGGCCGTCTTGGGCCGTCTGGAGGCCAACGCGGCCATCCTGGAGGCCACTTAGAGTTGTCTTGGAGGTTTTTTTTCGGATTGAGGTCCTTTCCGGGTGGCCGGCGGGATGCGCCAGAGCCCCAGGGGGAGTTCTTTTGGAAAAGAACCAAAACCAAAAACGATAGGATTTGGCACGCCAGGCACACCACTTGCAAGCAACACGGGGCGGCGGATCGAAGACGCCTACGGCGAATCACCGTCGCCACCTGCCTTTTTGGAAGCGCCTATGTGGCCGAATGTTGAGGCCAGACCTATCAAGCTATCGGACCATGTGCTCCCCGAATCGGTTTTGAAAGCCTTCGGGGAACACGTGGGCATCTTGAAGGTCATTTTGGCCGCCTGGAGGCCACTTTGACCCTTTCGGGCCTTTTTGGAGGACGTTTTGGAGGCCTCCGAGATGGCCGCTTTGGAGGCCATCTTGAGCGTCTTGGAGGCCTCTTGGGCCGTCTTGGGGGCCTCTTGGGGCCGTCTTGGGCCTCTTGGGCGATGTTTGGGGATACTTGGGCCGTCTCGAGCCGTCGGAAGGCCGAAAAAGCAAATGCCACAATCCTTCAAAGACTCGTGGGAAATCAATGATTTGGCCCTTTCGGGCCTTCCTGGAGGCCCTCTTGGAGGCCTCTTCGGCCGCCTTGGGCCATCTTAGTGCCATCTTCGACCGTCTTGGTGGGCCCCTGGCCCGTCTGACGCCGTCGGAAGCCTTTTTGGGGGCCTCTCTGAGCCGACTTGGGGCCCTCTTGGAATGCTCCAGGGCCGTCTTGGAGGCCACCTTGGGCGTCTTAAAAGCTTCCTGGGCCGTCTTGGGGGCACCTTGGAGCCGTCTTGGGGGCCTGTTGGGCCGTTCTGGGGCCAGGCCTCTTGGGCGATCCTTGGGCGATCTTTGGGGGCTCTTGGGCCGTATCGGGCCGTCGGTGTTGTTTGCCTTTTCTAGCCTTCCTGGATGCCCTCTTGGAGGCCTCTTGGGCCGTCTTGGGCCAGCTTCGAGCCAAATTCGGCCATCTTGGTGAACTCCTGGCCGTTTGGGGGGCCTTTCTGGGCAGACTTGGGGCCCTCTGTGCTCCAGGGCCGTCTTAGAGGCCATCTTAGGCGTCTTGGAGGCCTCTTGGGTCGTCTTGGGGCCCTCTTGGGGCCGTCTTGGGGGCCTCTTGGGCAGTCCTGAGGCCATCTTGGAGGCCTCTTGGGCGCTGTGGGGGCGATCTTGGGGGCTTCTTGGGCCGTCTTGGGCGTCGGAAAGCCGAGAAGAAGCGAATGCGAAAATCCTTCAAAAACCGAATGAAAATCAATGGTTTTGGCCTCTCCGGGCCCTCCTGGAGGACCTTTTGGAGGCCTCTTGGGCATTCTTAGAGGCCTCTGGGGGGCCTCTTGGGCCGTCTTCGGCCGTCTTGGACTCTTTTGGGCCGTACGGGAGGCCGTCTTGGACCATATTGGGCTGATTTAGTGGCCATCTTGGACCATCTTGGAGGCCATCTTTGGCCAACGTGGCCATCTTGGAGACCATCTTGGGCCATCTGGAGCGAAACATTTCGAGAATTGCGCGCCTTCCAGGTGGTCGGCGGGACGGTCCGAAGCCCCAGGGGGAGTTCTTTTGGAAAAAGAACCAACACCAAAACCGTAATAGTTTGGCACGCCAGGCACCCCTGCGATGAATCGACAGGGGGCGGCGGATCGAAGACGCCTACGGCGAATCACCGCCGCCCCCTGCCTTTTTGGAAGCGCCTATGTGGCCGAACGTTGAGACCAGACCTGCCAAGCTATCGGACCACGTGTTCCCCGAATCGGTTTGGAAAGCCTTCGGGGAACACGTGGGCATCTTGAAGGTCATCTTGGCCGTCTTGGAGGCCTCTTGGGCAAGCTTTGGGCGATCTTTGGGGCTTTTTGGGCCGTCTCGGGCCAGCTTCGAGCCAACTTCGGCCATCTTGGTGGGTTCCTGGCACGTCTGAAGCCGTCGGAAGCCGTTTGGGGGGCCTCTATGGGCCGACTTGGGGCCCGCTTGGAATGCTCCAGGGCCGTCTTGGAGGCCATCTTGGGCGTCTGGGAGGCCATCTTGGGCGTGTTGGAGGCCTCTTGGGCCCTCTTGGGGCCCTCTAGGGGCCATCTTGGAGGCCACTTGGGCCATCATGGGGCTCTCTTGGGGGCCTCTTGGGCGATCTTGGGGGCTTCTTGGGCCGTCTTGAGCCGTCGGAGAGCCGAAAAGGCGCAAATGCCAAAATCCTTCAAAAACCAATGGAAAATCAATGATTTTGGCCTCTTCGGACTCTCCTGGAGGACCTCTTGGAGGCCTCTTGGGCCGTCTGGGAGGCCTCTGGGGGGCCTCTTGGGCCGTCTTGGGCCGTCTTGGACTCTCTTGGGCCGTTTTGGAGGACGTCTTGGACCGTCTTGGAGGCATCATAAGGCCATCTTAGCCGTCTTAGAGACCATCCTGGCCGTCTTAGAGGCATCTTGGAGGCCATCTTGGAACAGTCTGGGGCAGGAAATTGGGGAATTGAGCTCCTGGGCATCCTTTCCGGGTGGCCGGCGGGACGGGCCGAAGCCCACTGGGGAGTTCTCTTAGAAAAAGAACTAAAACCAAAACCGATAAAATCTAACACGCCAGACACCCCTGCAAGCAGGGGGCGGCGGATCCTAGCGGCCTTCGGCCCATCCCGCCACCGTGCCTGGGTTGTGGATCTGAGGCCTCTTGTATATGTGTTGGGGTGCCGTGAGGAGCCTCTCGGGGGCCTCTTGGAGGCGGTTTGGGCGCCTCTTGGGGGCCTCTTTGGGGCCTCGTGAGGTATCTTTTAGGCTTCTTGTAGGCCTCTTGGGCGCGTCTTGGGCGCCTCTTGGAGCCTCTTGCAGGAGATCGTGCCTTGGGGGCGCGAATGCGGAACGATTTTCGAGGGATCGTGGCTTCGGGGGCGCGAACGTGGCGTAAGTTACGCGGACTCGTGGCCTCGGAGGCGCGAACGTGGTGAAAGTTACGGGAGATCGTGGCCTCGGGGGGCGCGAATGCGGCGTCATTCACGAAGGATCGTAGGCTCGTAGGCGCGACTGCGGCGTAATTTACAAGGGGATCGTGGCCCCAGAGACGAGAAAGTGGCATAACTTATGGTGGGTCGTGGCCTCAGGAGCGTGAATCTAATTTATCTTAAGAAGGATCGTGGTTTCGGGGACGCGACATCAGCGTATTCTACGAAGGATCTTGGCCTCTGGGGCGCGAACACAAAGTAATGTACGAGGGATTATTGCGTCGGGAGCGCGAACCTCGTCATTTTTACGTATATCACGCCCCCCCGAAATTCAGAGCACACGACTCGGGCGTGGTAATCAGGGTCCTTTTCGGCTTCCCCCCTCGCGCGGACAGTAACAATCTACAGTAGGAGACAGAAAGCAACACTGTAACATTGGAAACTGGAACTGGTGCAGGGAGCAGCGAACCTAATCCTCGCAGCCTGATGGCCCCGCAAGGGGGCCTGCGGATTTTTTCGCGGCTCAAGTGCTGAAGAGGATGAGGGTTCGAGGAGGCTTCTGGACAGCTTCGTGCGTTCTGGTAGGGTCCAGTGGGGAGAGTTGCAGGGCCCTGCGAGGTCAACCTCCTTGAGGAGCTGGGGACCCCCCTCGTGCGTGGCGACTTCCCAGTGCACTGCCCGGTCAGGGGGGGCATCGAGGAATGTAGGACAACTGCCCTACACCCTAGGCGATGCTTAAGAAAACCAAGGTTTTCGTCCAGAGTCTCGATTATTCTTAACGTTTCAATGTAAATCCTAAGATTTAATAGAAATGTTGGGTTGTTATTCAAGTTCTGAGACTATGAATTTCTTAACACATGATTTCTTAAGCATTTCGCAGGGTGTAGATGGGGCCCTGAACGGCCCCTGGACTGCAACTGCGGGCCCGAAAGGTGCTGGACCAGCTTGCGGTCCTCCATCCCCGTTCTGCCGCCCCTCCCCCCGTTGACGAGCGCCCGATTTCGGGCCCGCCTGCCCCCGTTGTCCCTTGAGGAAGAGGTCAGAGCATCAAGGTATTTGGACGCGTTTGGCCGCCTCGTGCCTCAGGGAGCCTCCGGCAGCCTCTGGGGAGCTCCAGGGGTCTCCTGGAGCCCGCGGAGGCCCCAAGGACCTGCAGGGGCATTCCGGAGACTTCTGGAGAGGATGCTCGAGTGATGGTCGAGGGCACCTTTTCAAACTTGGTGGTGGAGCCTTTTTGCTGCTTCTGGGGGCGCCATCGTCGCCGCAGCTGGATCCACCCCGAGGTCCTCGATATCACGCACTCCAGGAGAGGTCTGGAGGTCGAGTGTCGGGCGAGGATGAAGCGGGAGGAGGAGGAGGAGGAGGCAAGGCAGAAAAGCAGTAAGGGAAAGGGAAGGAGGAATCGAGTAGGAGGCCGAGGTCGTGGAGGAGGAGGAGGAGGAAACGAGGAGGAGGAAACGAGGAGGAGGAGGAGGCGGAGGAGGCGGAAGAGGAGGAGGAGGAGGGAACAAGGAAGCAAGGGATGGAGGAAGCCAGGATCAGGAAACGTGGAGGCAGAATCGCGGGAGAGGGCGAGGAGGAGGAGGCGGAGGAGAGGGCGAGTAGGAGGAGGATGCCAGGAAGAGGCCGGGAGGAGGAGAGGGCGGGGCCAGAGGAGGAGCTCGGTAGGAGAGGGTGGGGGTCGCTGGCCCCTCGCCGGCCGCACGTCCTTTGGTCCGTGGCCACCCTGCGGGTCAGCAAGCCGGAGCTGGTCATGCGGCTGTGTCTGGAGGCGCTCGGCAAGCCCGCGGAGTTCAACGCGCAGGATGTCGGGGAGAGGGAGGGCCTGGAGCAGCGCTGGGGGGCGGGGTCTTGGTCAGGAGGGGGAAACACATACAGACACAAGGAACCGTCGGCTCCCAGGAAAGTAGATAGGGGAATCTGGGAAGGGGCGGGGGGGTGAAGACGAAAACCGATACAAAATAACAAAATGGTTGAATCCTGGGATTTGTGCATTTCTGTGTATATTTATGAGTGTCCCCCTGGGCCCCCTTACTCAGCGGCAACGGGAGGGTCAGGGTTTGGGCTTTTCGAGGTTCGAGGTGTTCGGGCGTCGTCCGCTGGTCACCGCCCGTCCCTGAAGCGGTTGAAGACATCCTCCTCGAGGGCGGGACCGCACGGGGCAACGTTTGGGAGGGGGGGCATTCGGGGCGGCATTACTCAGGAGGGGAAAAAACACACACACACACACACACACACACACACACACACACACACACACACACACACACACACAATTGTCGATTCCCTGGGAAATATTGGAGAGAATATATGGGAAGTGGGGGGAGAACACAAGATCCCAGAAAACATTGGGAAATATATGGGGGATAATTCCACTTGTGTGTCTGTATTTGTGTGTCCTTGGGCCCCTGGAGTTGGGGCGGGGGGGCCTTCGGGGCAGCGTCACGGGCGGGAGCTCTGGCCGGGCGTGCCGCTCCGCCGGCTCTGGCCCGCCGCGCTCCGGCGCGGCGCGCCCACCGCGCCCAGGTGGGCGGCACGCCGCCCTCCTCCTCCTCCTCCTCCTCATCCCATCCTCCTCCTCCTCCCTCCCTCCCTCCCTCCCTCCCTCCCTCCCTCCCCTCCCTCCCTCCCACCGCGCTCCGGGCGCCCAGCTCCCCGCGCTGCTCTCGGCCGCCCGCGCCCCGCGCAGCGGCGCGGCGCGCCGTCCGCTCGCAGGGCGTGGCCCGTCGCTCACCACCCACCAAACCACCCCGACCCAACCCGAAGGCTCAGATTTACCCTCGATTTCCAGTGGGGGGGGGGTCCAGGAACGTCGAAAAAACACGTATGGAACCCTTACCCCCCCCCAACCCGAAATTCGGGCCTTCGGGTTGGGTTGGGGTGGTCTGGTAGGTAGTCAGTCGCCGGGGCCGCCGCCGCGCCGCCCGAAGCAAAGGCTCCCGAGCGCCTCTGGGGCAACGCTTGGCCTCGCTCGGACGTGTGCACGTTTTCCTCGGTGGGGGCCATCGAGGATCCTCCTGGCTCATGTGGCGGAGAAGCCACGCACGGAGCCGACAAAAAACACAGGGAATGGACGTCCGAGCGATGGCGAGAACGTGAGGGGGCAGGGTTTAGGGCTTCCGAAATTCCGAATTCTCGGTGGTCGAGCGTTCTCGTGGGCTGCCAGCTTTCAGGCCTCGGGGCCGCTTCTGGAAGCTGCGCCTCGCCGGGAGCGTTCCGGAGGTGCCTGGATGGTCCCGAACGGCCGCCCGGGAGCTGGATTGTTGTCAACCGTCCAGCTTCCCGCCATGTAGTTGCCTCGTCTTCCTCTCTGCTTGCCTGGTCTCTCCTGGTCCCCCATCCCTCTTCCAGCTCTTGCGTCCGCTGCCGTTTAGGGCCCTTGAGCCAGGGCGCCCCGGACCGGGGGTAGAAGACATGCCTCCGAATCTCAATTCCGTCACGATCCGAAGCGATCAAGTATAGACAGTTATGTCCTGAAAGCCAGGGGGGCAACGACAGGGGTGTATAGGCCCAGGGGAGAGCATCGACCTCTAAGAGTCTGTTTCCTTACTGTTTGGGGCATGACGGGCGTCTTGGCCTCTGCCCCCCCCCCCACACGACGTAACGCTCCCCCCCCAGTGCGCTCTGGGCACTGCCGCCGTGTGCATCGGGATCCGCATAGGTGTCCGCATAGGAATCCGTATAGGAGTTTGGTCCGCAGTGTCGTCGTCGCCGTCGTCGTCGTCGTCGCCGTCGTCGTCGTCGCCGTCGTCGCCGTCGTCGTCGTCCCTTCGTCGTCGTCGTCGTTGTCGCTCGTCGCTCGTCGCTCGTCGTCGTCGTGCGCGCGGACGCGGCTGGAGCCGGTTTTTGATCCCAGGCCGGTGACGGCAATCATTTGGGGTGGGGGGTTGGAAGGGGCCGATGGTGTCACGTTTCGCGCCGGCGGCGTCTGGGAATGCATAGGAATGACCGAAGACGGATAGCAGCCGCATGTAGGTGGCGGTCTGCACCACAGCGCCTGTGTACACAACAGTGCCTGTGTGCACCACACCGCCTGTGTACACCACACCGCCTATGTACACCACAGCAGCTGCGTGCAACACAGCGCCAGCGTGTGTGCCACAGTGCCTGCGGCACCACAGCGCTTGTGTATACCACAGCGCCTGCGTACACCACATCCGCCACACAGCACGAGTGTACACCACAATGCTTGCGTGCAGCGCCTGTGTACATCACGGCGCCTGTGTGCACTACAGTAATCGTGTGCAACTGAGGACCACTGTTGCGCAGAATTGTGGGACGAATCACTATGACAAAATGGAGCGCCTGTGGATTCCTCAGAAAACAATTGTTTTAGACAGGATGTGGGAACGAATCATTATGAAAAAAGGAGCGCCGCTGGAATCTACGAGTCCTCCCGTGTCCGCCCGCATCATCCTAATTCCTCCCATCTGCGTTCAGGATGCCCCAGCAAAGTTGGCCGTCCGAGAACTGATTACATAGGCCATTATGCGGTGCACGCTGAGATGCGCACGTGCGCTATAGCGCCGACCCGCACGACAAGGGGGAAGGGTGAGGGAGGAGGAGGGGGAGGACGACGACGACGACGACGAGGACGAGGACGAGGGTTTCAGAGAAGGAGGGAGAGGAGGAGGTGAAGGAGGGAGGAAGGAAGAACGTCGCATTCTATTACCAACACCTCCATGGCGTGGCGGTTAGCTGTCCGCAGCAGATCCTCACATACATGCTCATTCAGCCTGTCCTGTGCAGCACGCAGGCGTTGTGGTGTACACCAACATTGCGTTGCACGCGGATGTTGTGGTATAGACAGGCGTTGTGGTGTGCGCATGCGTTGCGGTGTACGCAAACACTGCGGTGTACACAGGAGTTGCGTTGCATACGGCTGTTGTGGTGTACGCAGGCGTTGTGGTGTACACGCGCGCTGTGGTGCACGCAAACATTGTGGTGTACACAGGCGCTGTGAGGCAGATCGCCGCCTACATGCTGCTCGCGTCGTCGTCGCCGTCGTCGTCGTCGTCGTCGCTCGTCGCTTGTCGCTCATCGTCGTGCGCGCGGGCGCGGCTGTGGTGCCAGAGCCACACGGCGCGGGGGTAACGTCGTACCCCCCCCCCCGCCCCCCGCCCTCCCTCCCCCCCCATGACGCCCGTCATCGCCGAAAATAAAGAAACACTCGCTAAAACCCAATATTCGTCACCGATGGGGGCTCGATGGCACACCCCGCACAGGAAGGTGCGATCTCGCCATCGGGGACTTGTGAGGATGGGGGGCCAGCTGGAAGCGAGGTGCAGATACCGCTGCTCGTCCTGGAGAGCACCCGTCTCCACGGCTGGACTGTGCTCGACATGCTCGTCAGCTCATGCCCCGGGGAACGTCGGGGGGAGTAGCGGTGTCAGTGTGTTGTGTTGCCCCCCCCCCGCGAAAAAAAGGAAGAGGAGGACGAGCTTGCCTGGTTGTGTGACCACGCATGCTGTGTTCAGTCATCGCACGTTTGTTTCACTGCCACACCCCCTGAGAAGGGGGGTATGAGGGATAGGAGGCGAAAAGGGGGAACAACGAGAAGGAGGCAGTGAGGAGGAGGAAGAGGAGGAGGACAAGGAGGGGGAGGAGGAAGAGCAGGAGGGGAGCTCCTGATTACGATGTGGATACGAAGGATGAAGTCAGGAGGACGCGGAGGAGGAGCAAGTGGAGGACGGATGAGAAGGTATATGAGGTCTTGAGGACGAGGAAGAGGAGGAGGAGGCGAAGAAGGAGGAGGACGAGGAGGAAGCGGAGGAGGAGGAGGAGGAGGAGGAGGGAGGAAGAGGAGGGGGAGGCGGAGGAGGAGGAGGAGGAGGAGGAGGAGGTGGAGGAGGAGGAGGAGGGGAGGAGGGAGGAGGAGGAGGAGGAGTGGAGGAGGAGGAGGAGGTGAGGAGGAGGAGGAGAGAGGGAGGAGGAGTTGGAGGAGGAGGAGGAGGAGGAGGAGGGCAGGAGGAGGAGGAGGAGGAGGGAGGAGGAGGAGCAGGCGGAGGAGGAGGAGAGGGAGGAGGAGGAGAGGAGAAGAGGAGAGGAGGAGAGGAGGAAGGAGGAGGAGGAGGAGGAGGAGGAGAAGGAGGAGGAGGAGGATGAGGAGGAGGAGAAGGAGGAGGAGGGAGAGGAGAGGAGGAGGAGGAGGTTAGAACGAGGAGGAGGAGGAGGAGGAGGGAGGAGGAGGAGGGTGAGGAGGAGGAGGAGGAGGAGGAGGAGGAGGAGGAGGAGGGGAGGAAGAGGTGGATCTGGGAAGAGGGGTGGGGAGGCGAAGGAAAGGGGGCGGTGGAGGAGGAGGACGAGGAGGAGGAGGAGGAGGACGAGGAGGAGGAGGAGGAGGAGGAGAGGAAGAGGTGGATGGGGAAGGGGGGTGGGGAGGCGAAGGAAAGGGGGTGGTGGAGGAGGAGGACGAGGAGGAGGAGGAGGAGGACGAGGAGGAGGAGGAGGACGCAGGCTTTGGGTACGCTCTTCGTAGCGTCCTGCGCCTCTGGGAACCAGGGAGGGCTCCTGGGGAGTTCTGGGACACTTTTCGGGGAGACCTCGGGGAAGCGAAGCCGGGCGGGCGTCCTCGCCCCAGTCTCGGGCCCCAGGGCCCTTTTAGGAGCGATCCGGCTCAAGAGCCGACGCAGGCAGATCAAAGCCGGCCCCGACTGGTAGCTCGGCCCTGCCGAATCAAGGCCCTCGTGTCCCGTGGCCCACGCCTCCTGCATTCCCGCGGCGATGTGGCCCTTCCGAAGAGCCTCGTGTCCTCTCGCGTGCCCTCTCCCGTCAGGTCCGACTGCAGGGGCCGAGGCTGTGGTGTCAGCACGACTTGGGCCCTCGGGGAAGGCCTCGGGCTGCGCCCAGACGGCGCTCCAGAGGCAGCCCCAGCTCTTTGCCGCATCATGCCCCGCAAGAGTACGTAGGGCAGGGCGGTGTCAACACCCTGAGATCCTGGCGTCTCAATGTTTTCGAGCCGGGCGTTTTCGCTTGTTGCTCGGGCCCCATGGCTCTCACATAACGACGTGACTCGAAAAATGATACAGAAAAATGGGCTCCAGGGCTCAGGGCGTGATTTGTCCACGATATCATTTTTGTTCGCAACTTCGGATCTCAGGGCACCCACCGCCGCTGGCGTCGCCCCCCCAGGGGCGCTCTGCGCCCCAGGGGCGGGGTGCTCAGAACGCCCTGGACTGCCCTGGGGGCCTGCCGAGGTCAGCGGGGACTCCCCCGCGCCGCCGCTTGCAGCAGAAAGCTCCAGAGCCAGCGCCCCAACGCGTGCTGTGAGGGGCTTCCGGCCGGCGCCGTCGACCCAGAGGGACGACGACCACGACCACGACCGCGACCACGACGACGACCACCGCGACGACGTCGGCTGGGGCTCCCCCGCGCCGCCGCTCGCAGCAGGCGGCGCCCGAGAGCGCGTGAGGGTTTCGCGGGCGGGGGGGGCCCCACCTCCCCCCACCCCCCACAGCCGCGCTGTAGGAAGACGCCCGCCCCCGGCCGCTCGGAAGCCTGGTGCGCGCCCGCGGGCGGCAGAGGGAGTTTTATTCAATTGTGTAATTTGGAGGAGGAGGAGGAGGAGGAGGGATGGAGGAGGTGGAGGAGGAAGGAGGAGGAGTGAGGAGGGGAGGAGGAGGAGGAGGTGCCCGGACCCCCTCGAGCCGCGAGGGGCGGTCGCGACGGGAGGCTGCTCGCGAGCTCTCGCGGCCTCGTCGGGGCCCCTGCTGGGCCGGGGGGGGGGCCGCCAGCACGCGGCTCGGAGGGCGCAGCCGATGCCAGGGAGCGGGGTTCGAGACCTCTGGAGGTCGACGCTGCGGAAAAGTCATGGCGTCAAGGGCGGAGGAGGGGAGGAGGGGAGGAGGAGAGGAGGAGGGGATGAGGGGGAGGAGGGGAGGAGGGGAGGAGGAGGAGGGGAGGAGGGGAGGAGGGGAAGCGGGGGAGGAGGGGAGGAGGGCACTGGGGATGGCGGAACTGACGATGACAGCAACATGAAAGCTCGGAGGTCCGCGCGGCTCTCTCGGATCGGCACTGAGCCCCCCTCCTTGGTGCGGAGCGCGCCGGGGGCGGCGGCGGAGGCGCCGCCAGTGGGCTCCCGCGCCGTTGCAAGAGATCCGCGCGGACCTCCGAGTTTCTATGCGCGCTCCCAGGCGCTCCCAGGCGCTCCCAGGCGCTCCCAGGCGCCCCCAGGCGCTCCCAGGCGCTCCCAGGCGCTCCCAGGCGCTCCCAGGCGCCCCCAGGCGCTCCCAGGCGCTCCCAGGCGCTCCCAGGCGCCCCCAGGCGCCCCCAGGCGCTCCCAGCTCGCAGGCGCTCCCAGGCGCTCCCAGGCGCTTCCAGGCGATCCCAGGCGCTCCCAGGCGCTCCCAGGCTTCTGTCAGTGTTCGTTCCCTGAAGGGAGGAGCAGGGAAGGAGGGCGGGAGGAGGAGAGAGGGAGGGTGAAGCGGGGGTCGCAGCCCGGAGCCCTCCCAGCGCAGGACATCTCCAACACGTCCTGGGCCCTGGCCACGCTGGCCGTGCAGCACCGGCGGCTGGCCGAGACGCTGTGCGGCGAGGCGGTCGGGAAGTGTCCGGACTTCACCTGCCAGGGCCTCGCCAACACTCTGTGGGCCATGGCCACGCTCAAGGTGCGCCACCCGAGGCTGGAGGAGGCCTTCTGCCAGGATCGCCCTCGTCCGCGGCAGGGGGAGGGAAGCGCTCTTGCCAGAGGGGCCCGCTGGCGAAGACGGGAGAGAGATGGCAGCGGCCATCACTGGCGGGATTCCTGGGTTTGCGGGCTCGGAGCGCACGCACCTCGGAAAGTGGTTCGGAGATCTGATCGCTAACATTGCGGTGTGGGGGCGCCCGCTGCGGAATGTGCACAGGAGGCTTCAGACCTGGAGGATTGATGTCTTACCTGATGAGGGTGACGGTGATGTCCACGGCCAAGCATCAGTTGCAGCTCCACGGGCTTCCAGACCCTGGCTTGCTTATGCGTGGTTTCCTCATCCAATGTCCCCACCGTGCATCGGTTCGGTTCAGTGAGCATGCAGCCGCGATTCCGTGCAGCAGAGAAGGGCCAGCCACTTGCGAGCGGCATGCTCGTAAGGATGCCGCCGGCGCTTCTCACGGGCGCGGCGCGCGCGCGCGGGGCGTGGGCCCCGACTCGACGCGGTGCACGCCCCCCGTGGCAGTTCTCTCGGTTGTCGGGGGTGGACGGACCTCCTGCCCTGACACGTCGACTAGCGAATTGGCCGTTTTCGGTTCGCGAGAGGCGTCGCGGCCGTCATTTTTGCGGGTCCAGGTCCGTCGGTTTCGGTCCCAGGCCGTTTTCACTGAGGGGGGGGTTACTAAAGGGAGGTTTGCCCACCGCCGAGGCTGGTCCACGAAGGGCCCGTGCTCATGTTGAGAGCCAGAGTGCGGCGAGGGCACTGTTCTCTCTCTTGAAGGCCAGCTGCGGGCTTGCCTCCTCTTAATTATGCACTCCGTTGACCCCCCAGGCAGTTCCTGGGCCGGGGCGGGCGAGAGGGGTCGTGTGCAGCTTGGCTCGGCCCCTCCGCTCGGCGGCGTTTTTGGCAGATGTCGCTCCTGGCGCCGGAGGGACGGGAAAGCCAGCAGCGGGCTGCGGATACGCTGGATCTACACCCTGGCGGCCCGCTTTCCCGTCCACCCTGGCAGGAGCCTCTGTTCTCTCCTTTCTGCGTGGGGCCTCCTGGACAAGGTCGCGGCGTCTGCAGCACCCACCGCGCAAGAGAGCGACAGAGTGGGAAAGAGCAAAGGGGAGAGCGCGGAGAGCTGAGGTCACGAAGAGGAGGAGGAGGAGGAGGAGGAGGAGAAGGAGGAGGAGGAGGAGGAGGAGGAGGAGTCGAGGAGGATGAGGAGAGGAGGAGGAGGAGGAGGAGGAGAGCGAAGAAGGAGGAGAAGGAAGGAAGTTCAGAAGGAATTGGAGGGGAAGGAGGGAGGTGATTTAGGAAAAGGACTAGGGGTCGAAGAGCTGGCAGTGGAGAAGGAAGCGGAGCAGGAGGAATCAGTTGGGAGGGAGGGAAGAAGAGGAAGCAGTGAAGCAGCAGGGTTAGGATGAGGAGCAGGAGGAGGAGGTGGCGGTCCAGATCTCCACACACACAGACAGACACACATGCGACGTCCTTATGCTTCCACACGCGGTTCCCGAAAAATTCGACCCTTGCCCCAGGAATTGTTTTTCATCCAGACTCGTCTGTGGACAGTCCCACGGCCCTGCGAGGGCACTCTGAGGCCGAGGCCATGTGCTGCGCCATGGGGGGCGATCCATGGGAGGGGGAACAAAAGGTACGCCACAGGAGCCCTAAAGAGGCCTTCCGGACCCCAAGGGGGCACGACATGTGCACGTCTCTTCGCCCCCACCCTCTCTCGCCCCCCTTGAGCAACGCCCAGCGAAACTGTTCAAAAACCTCCCTTTGTCTTCTTTCACGGCTCGATGGGGGTCCCCGCAAGCGCGCGCGAGCAAGCAGGCAAGCTCACCCGCGCAGAGCCGACGCGGGAGCGCGCTGCAGATCATGCTGCTCTGCGCCACGTTGGGCGCGTGGCTTTCGTGGGCTGGGCGTCTGGGGGGGGGCCCTAAGCCAAGCCTTTCGGCTGGCCCGCCTCTGCCTGCCCTGGCCCTTTCGGGCCACCCCGTTTTTGTCTGTATTGGAGGGCTCCTCCTTAGTGCCGTTAGGGCCCCACCTTTCACTTTCACTCTGGGCGCGTGGCGTCTGCACCCGGCGGGGCGGAGGACTCAGCACAGTCAAGACGCCGACATGAGAACCGCTCGGGGCTCAGGAGGGGCTCGGGTCTCCGTGCCTTGCACTCGCGTCGCTTGGCATCGCTCGGATGTGTGAGTATTTTTCCTCGGCGAGGACCATCGAGGAGCATCCTGGATCATGAAGCAAAATTATCCTGGCGAAGGGCCCAACCATACGCAATTCCGAATGCCGCCGTTGTAAGTATCGTCGTTGGTGGAACACCCGATGGGGCCACGAAGCGTGTGAGAGGTGCGCCAAATGGAGGTGGAACTGCATGCGGACCCTGCCACTGGGGCCTTCGGTGGAGCACCCTGTGGGGCCGCGAAACGTGTGAGGGGTGCGCCGAAACGGAGGTGGAACTGCATGCGGACCCTGCCATTGGCGCCCTCGGTGGAGCTCCCTATGGGGCCGCGAAACGTGTGAGGGGTGCGCCGAAATGGAGGTGGAACTGCATGCGGACCCTGCCACTTGGGCCTTAGGCGGGGCTCTTTATGGGGCCACGAAGCGTGTGAGGGGTGTGCCGAAATGGAGGTGGAACTGCATGCGGACCGTGCCACTTGGGCCTTAGGCGGGGCTCCCTATGACGCCACGAAACGTGTGAGGGGTGCTGGAAGTGGAACTGCATGCGGACCCTGCCACTTAGGCCTTAGGCGGAGCTCCCTATGGGGCCACGAAACGTGTGAGGGGTGCGCCGAAATGGAGGTGGAACTGCATGCGGACCCTGCCACTGGGGCCTTCGGTGGAGCTCCCTATGGGGCCACGAAACGTGTGAGGGGTGCGCCGAAATGGAGGTGGAACCGCATGCGGACCCTGCCACTGGGGCCTTCGGTGGAGCTCCCTATGGGGCCACGAAACGTGTGAGGGGTGCGCCGAAATGGAGGTGGAACCGCATGCGGACCATGACACTTGGGCCTTCGGTGGAGCTCCCTATGGGGCCACGAAGCGTGTGAGGGGTGCGCCGAAATGGAGGTGGAACCGCATGCGGACCCTGACACTTGGGCCTTCGGTGGAGCTCCCTATGGGGCCACGAAACGTGTGAGGGGTGCGCCGACATGGAGGTGGAACCGCATGCGGACCCTGACACTGGGGCCTTCGTTGGAGCTCCCTATGGGGCCACGAAACGTGTGAGGGGTGCGCCGAAATGGAGGTGGAACCGCATGCGGACCCTGACACTTGGGCCCCTCGGTTGGAGCCCCTATGGGGCCACGAAACGTGTGAGGGGTGCGCGAATGAGGTGGAACCGCATGCGGAACCCTTAACACTTGGGCCTTCGGTGGAGCTCCTATGGGGCCACGAAACGTGTGAGGGGTGCGGGCCGACCTCCTCTTCTAAGAAGCATGACCACTGACACTTGGTGCCTTCGTGGGGCTCCCTATGGGGCCAGAAAAAAACGTGTGAGGGGTTGCGGGCGCGTGTGAGGGGTGCGGGTGGCGGCCGAAATGGAGGTGGAAGCCCTGATGCGGAACCCTGACGACTTGGGACCTTCGTGGAGCTCCCTATGGCCACGGAACGTGGAGTGGTGGCGCGCGAATGGAGGTGGAACCGCATGCGGACGCTTGCCACTTGGGGCCTTCGGTGGAGCTCACTATGGGTCCACGAAACGTGTGGCCATGATGGAGACGGCGATGATGATGACGACGATGGTGATAAGAACGATGATGATGATGCTGATGATGACGGTGACGATGACGATGATGATGATGCTGATGATGAGAGGGAGGAGGGAGGAGGGGGAAGAGGAGGAGAGGAGAGGACGCGGGCACCGTCTCTTCAAAACGAGGACCCAACACCACAGGATGGTTGGGAAAAAGAAAGAGGCACGCGCGGAACCGAAAAGTGCGCCAGGAATGCGCGTCCGATCGATGGCCATATCGTGGAACCCTGTTCGTGGCCCAGGCTCGCCGTGGCCAGGACCAGCCCCTTCGCTCCGCATCATGCGCTCCTTGTGGTGGTGCGCTGACTGTATCGTTTCACCCAGGCACCGCCTGATCCCTGGGCTTCGCCTGCTCCTGGCCGCGTGAGGCCCCGCCTTCCTGTGCCCTGTCTCCCTAATTAAAACTGTGCGCGTCCCGCTTAGCTTTCAGCGGCGACGAGGTTCGCTCTCGCCCTGCAGATCAATTATCCTGGCGAAGGGCCCAACCATACGCAATTCCGAATGCCGCCGTGGTAAGTATCGTCGTTGGTGGAACACCCGATGGGGCCACGAAGCGTGTGAGAGGTGCGCCAAATGGAGGTGGAACTGCATGCGGACCCTGCCACTGGGGCCTTCGGTGGAGCACCCTGTAGGGCCGCGAAACGTGTGAGGGGTGCGCCGAAATGGAGGTGGAACTGCATGCGGACCCTGCCATTGGCGCCCTCGGTGGAGCTCCCTATGGGGCCGCGAAACGTGTGAGGGGTGCGCCGAAATGGAGGTGGGACTGCATGCGGACCCTGCCACTTGGGCATTAGGCGGAGCTCTCTATGGGGCCACGAAACGTGTGAGGGGTGTGCCGAAATGGAGGTGGAACTGCATGCGGACCGTGCCACTTGGGCCTTAGGCGGGGCTCCCTATGACGCCACGAAACGTGTGAGGGGTGCGCCGAAATGGAAGTGGAACTGCATGCGGACCCTGTCACTTAGGCCTTAGGCGGAGCTCCCTATGGGGCCACGAAACGTGTGAGGGGTGCGCCGAAATGGAGGTGGAACTGCATGCGGACCCTGCCACTGGGGCCTCAGGTGGAGCTCCCTATGGGGCCACGAAGCGTGTGAGGGGTGCGCCGAAATGGAGGTGGAACCGCATGCTGACCCTGACACTTGGGCCTTCGGTGGAGCTCCCTATGGGGCCACGAAACGTGTGCGGGGTGCGCCGAAATGGAGGTGGAACCGCATGCGGACCCTGACACTTGGGCCTTCGGTGGAGCTCCCTATGGGGCCACGAAACGTGTGAGGGGTGCGCCGAAATGGAGGCGGAACTGCATGCGGACCCTGCCACTTGGGCCTCGGTTGGAGCTCCCTATGGGGCACGACACGTGTGAGGGGTGGCCGAATGGAGGTGGAACCGCATGCGGACACTGAAACTTGGGCCTCGGTGGAGCTCCATGGGCCACGAAACGTTTGAGGGGTGCGCCGAATGGAGGTGGAACGCATGCGACCCGACACTTGGCCTCGGCGGAGCTCCCTTATGGGCCACGAAGCGTGTGAGGGAGTGCGCCGAATGGAGGTGGAACCGCCATGCGGACCCTGACACTTTGGGCCTTCGGTGGAGCTCCCTATGGGGCCGCGAAACGTGTGAGGGGTGCGCCGAAATGGAGGTGGAACCGCATGCGGAACCTGACACTTGGGCCTTCGGTGGAGCTCCCTATGGGGCCACGAAACGTGTGAGGGGTGCGCCGAAATGGAGGTGGAACCGCATGCGGACCCTGACACTGGGGCCTTCGGTGGAGCTCCCTATGGGGCCACGAAACGTGTGAGGGGTGCGCCGAAATGGAGGTGGAACCGCATGCGGACCTTGCCACTTGGGCCTTCGGTGGAGCTCACTATGGGTCCACGAAACGTGTGGCCATGATGGAGACGGCGATGATGATGACGACGATGGTGATAAGAACGATGATGATGATGATGCTGATGATGACGGTGACGATGACGATGATGATGATGCTGATGATGAGAGGAGGAGGAGGAGGAGGAGGAGGAGGAGGAGGAGGGGGAAGAGGAGGAGAGGAGAGGACGCGGGCACCGTCTCTTCAAAACGAGGACCCAACACCACAGGATGGTTGGGAAAAAATATATGTCTCGTTTCTCCCATGCCTGTCCCCACCAGGCCATGGTGTCTCAGCCCCACCATGCCCCCCCCCCCAGCTGGGTTGCGCAGCCGGAACCACTGCTAAGGATGGACAGCCACACCGAGGGGACCATGGCATCCTTGCCTCTGTGGCCCATCATTGGCCACTTTCGATGGCCAGCCCCACTCGAAAAGCTTCGGCCTGCGCGTCTAACGCCCTTGCGTCTTTACCGCACATCCTTACTATCAGTTTTGACTGTATCCCAATTCTGAGGGGGGTCAAATCAGCCAGTGGGGCCAAGACCATGCCAGTGGGGCCACGGGATCGGTCATCGGGGCTCATGGGACGGGGGTCGATGCAAGGGGGGGTCAGCCAAAGGATCCTGCAGAGCCAGGGGTGCATTGACCCAGGCATGCGTGCAGGATCTTGCAAGGTCCGATTGACATGAGTCTGGGCTGACCCAGATCAGTAATCCTCGAGGTCCAACGATGTTCTTGCAGGAACCTGCCAGGCCCGACTGACCCAGGCTTGGATTGACCCGAGTCAGTGGATCCCCGAAGCCAAACGCTCTTGCAGGATCCGGCAAGGTCCGACTGACCCGGGCTTGGATTGACCCGGGTCAGTGTAGATCCGGGGGTCATGGGGAAACCAAGGGGTGCCGATACCGCTACTCCCCGGACCTCCCCCAGGATGCGTTTTGACCAGAATTTCGAGGCGACTCCGGCGGTTGCGACGAGGGCCTCCTAGGAGGCCCAAAGAGTCAGCGAGCGAAGAACGGTATAAAATAAACTTTTTCGCTGTCAGGGGCGCCTGTCCCTAGGCGGTTGGAAAGTTTACACCCCTGGCCGTTCTTCGCTTGTTAAAAGAAGGGAAATTGGGGGAAGTGTAGAGGCATGGGTGCCTTTTTCGGCCACGCGGCCGGGACAGCGGGTGTTTGCTTTTAGGGGCCGGGTTTCGTGACACACGCTCTGTCTCTACTTTTTCCGCCTCCTCCCCCCCTTTCCTCCGAATCGTTGGCCAGAGTTTCGGCCACGTTCGCCGGACAGATGTTCCCACGCTGTGTTGGTTCCGGTTGTGCGGAGCTGGCTCTTGCATTCGGTTTCATTCGGGGTGCGCATTTGGTGTAGCCCTCTTGAGGGGCAGCGGATTCCTCCTTCTCCTCTGCCTTCTTGCCGTGAAAGAGGAGAAAAAAAGAGGCATGGGTGCCATGTCCTCCCCCGAGGTCCAGCGATGCTCGAGGGCGCTGCCAGCTGCTCCTCTCTCCGGGCCCGACTGCCTCCGGCGGGGGCGCCTCTGGCCCCTCTGCGCCCCCCCCCCGCCCTCCCTCCCCAGGCGGCCTGCAGAGGGTGCCAAG